TAGTTGAGGGTAGAAAGTTGTCAAAGACATGTTAGCACTGAGATGATTTCTCCTGGAGGACTTGAAAGAGAACTGAAAAAGAAATGCCTTTCTCACTGTCATGCCAAATGCCACAGGAATGCCTCTTTGGTCTTACAGTGATACAGAGCCCACGCTTTGGGAAAAGCTGTTTGAATCTGTTCTTTCAAGCCAAAGAGGATACTGATAGCTGCGAGTATCCGGATTCTTTGATGGGAGAGCTGCTCCCAATTGCTTTATTTGTTCTATGGAACAGCTAAGTGGGAGCAGGATGGACCCGAGATTTGGAGGGCAAGGGACTGTCTTTTATCCAATTTGCCTCTAGCCTGGACTCACATCCCCAAGTTCTACCTGGTAGCTGGTCTAGGAATAATCTGGTAACAATCCAAGGTCACATGTAGGTAGGTGGCTGGCTCCAGCAAGTTTTGTCACAGTAGGCTTGGTTTCTTCCTAACAGATATTAAATATGAGCTGTGGTAGTAACTGAAGTGCAGAGGAGAGGTGATGATGTGCAGGAGGGTCAGACTGGCCCATGACTGATGACACTTTCTAACTGGGGACCGATACTGGAATCTCATCTGGCACCCTAAATCTCAGACTGTGCAGCACTTGGCACAAGAACCCTGTATTCCCACCCACTCAGTCCCCTCAATTTCTCTCCTTTGACCGCTGAGGAGATTAGACAAAATGGGAAGAGGGAAGTTTACAGAGGGGTATTCCTGTCCACCCATATACATCTTTGGTCTCTCCAGTCCTGTGTACAGTCTGATCTGTGACCTCACTGTCTCACGCACATTTGTTTCCCCACCTCTGGCTGATCTGCAGGTTCCTCCAGGGCCCTCAGGGAGTGAGGAATTTCCCCCTGTGGTTTTGTGTGACCCCCTCCCTAATGCCATGTGGGTAGGGGGATTCCTGCCCAGGGGAGACAGTTGTACCAAATGATAGTCAAGCCTCCTTTAATCTCATGAAGTTCACTCCTGACCTTCCAGGAGTCTCTTAGGAGCACAGTAAGCACTCAGGAAATGCTTGGCAATTTGAAGTAGCCTGGCTGCTCTTGACTGGCTCTTGGAAGTCTCTCTGTGGGGTCTCCAGAGTAGCTTAGAAGTTAAGAGTAGTCCCAAGTGTCAACCCCAGGTCTCATTTGTGCTGTGAGCTTGGGCAAGTGACTTTACCTGTCTGGGTCTTGGTTTTCTCATCTGTGAAATGAAGATTCAAACTCATAGGTTTGTTGTGAGAGATAAACTGTGACTGTGGTGCAGAGGGCTGCATGGAGGATGTTCTCAGCAAGCAGCAGCCTCTATGATGCCACAGCCTCTTGGTCTTCCTGAGAGATGCTTCAAGGATTAGGAGTCCCATGAGAGAAACAGCCAAGCAGGGTGACTCTGAGCAGATGGGGGTATCCAGGAGTTGGGGTGAGGTTTGAGCACCCAGGAGGAGTCATAAGGCAGGCCCCCAGCAAATGCCAGTATCCTTGAGCATAGAGACCATATCTTGGTGATGTTGCATCTCCAGTACTGAGCAAGGAGCCTGATATATAGTAGGTTCTCATTAAGTATTTGCAGAGTGAATAAATGAAATGCCCAACCACATTTTTGAGGTGAATGAGGGATGATCCTCCTCTAGACAATCCAGTATTTAGCTTATTTTGAGGGAAGACTCAGGTTCCTTAGACATTTTTGTCCATCAGTTATGTGCTGGGTATTAAAAGGAGGGCAAAAAATGTATAAGGCATAGCCCCTACCTTTGAGGAGTTAGTTCAAGTCTGGATAGGAAAGAAGGATAAATAGTCAGCCATCAAAAATCCTAGGCTGAGAAAGGGACCCAAATATCATCCAATTCAACTGTTATCCAATGCCCAGAATCCTGGACAGCACTGATGCTCAACCTCTGCTTGCATTCCTCCAGTGCTGGGATTTCACTCTGTCCCAAGGTGGGCTTGTCTTTGCCCTTACCTGGCAATCTTCCACTCATGCATCTAGGCTTAAATGACACTCTCATTTCTGAGCATTCCTCACTACTAGAACATGCTTCCTCAAGGGGGGGGGGTGAGAGAGAGAGAGAGAGAGAGAGAGAGATCCACCCTGTGTAGTCCAACTCCTTGGATCCACATGAAATGGTCACATCTCTGTCCCATGTCACAGATCAGTCAATGACCTCATCCATCCCACTGAACTGTTCCATCTGCAGCCAAGCATCCCATCCTTTCAGCTGCCCCGCACAACCCACTCCTCCCCGAGTTCTGTGAGCAGGACCCTGTGCTCACCTTCTCTGTGCAGAGGTCCACGCACTTGTCCACAGACATGTTCGGCATGGCGGCTGTCACGGGCAAGGCCAGGGAGAGGTTGTCAGGCCTGTGGAAACAGCCTCGGAATACTGCACTTCCATCTGCAGGGCCAGAGGGAAAAGTAGTAGTCAGATCTAGAAGGAGGAAGATCTGGACAGAAGAACCACCTTCTGAAGGAAGCTCTTGTACACTGAAGCCCAGAGAAGGCAAGAGTCTTGCCCCAGTTCACACAGTGAGCCAAAGCAGAGACAGAAAGAGCAGCTGCATTTTCTGTTCTTGGACAGCTCTGTTCATAGCCTATGAGCTCGATCATTCAAAGAATGCTCTTCTCAAGTCTGGCTACTTTGCCAATAGCCCAGGCCACTGAGGTCAAGTTCTTCCTGGGCCACATTAACCCCTTTTGTTTGTCAGCATCCCTACACCTCACTTCCTTATTCTCAACAGTGGCAATGTGCCATTCAGGGAAGTGATACATTCCATAAAGTGTTTTCATCAGGAGTGGATTGATGGAGCAAGGGAAAGGGCCAGGGCTGTCCTGTCCTTCCTCATCAATACAAAGGTGACCCTCTGCCTCCCATCGTCCTGGGCTTTAGTGGAAAAGACCTGCACCTCAGGAGTCTCCACCTACCCAGTACTGAGCACCTGCAGGCTGCAAGGACCTGATATGTTGGAGGGACTCCCTTTAAGATACCCCAATCTGGAAATATCACAGCTGTACAATAGAAAATTTGGAGGTCACACTACCATCTCTTCAATAGAAGTCATCCCTTAAGAAAATATTCAGAGATGTTGAATATCCACTGGAAGCAGAGCCTGAAACAAGTGTTTTGATGAAGGTGTGTTCTCAGGGAGGAGGAAGGGAGGGAAGCAGGAGAGGACAGAGGACGGAGGTTGGTGAGGATGTGACATCAACTGGGTCCCACCTGCAGCCTCATCCCACAGAAAGCTCTGGGGGGGAAAATTGCACTGCAGAGCTGGTCCCACCTTAAGAAAAGGAGCCTGGCTGTGGTTTTGTGTGACCCCCTCAGTAATGTCAGGCTATTATTGGCTGCAGGCTGCCCCCGAGGATGGAGCATAACTTCCTGGGAGAGGCTACCTGCTACTGTTGGGCTAATAGCTATTCTTTGGGGAAGGGGGCAGATGTGTGTTATTGCCACCAACAGTCCCCACAGTGAAGGGGATTTGGGCAGGCACCCATAGTGTCCACTACAGATGCGCACAAAGACTGACCAATAAAGAAGTTCATTGCAGCATTTTTTAAAAGTAACAAGTGAAAGAAAAGAAACAACCTAGATGTCCAACAGGGAGGTATCGGGCAAGTGAAGGATGGAAATGCAGCACATGGAATTCCATGCCTCCATCGGAGCAATGGGGTTAAAGGATATTTTTGGCCAGATGAAGGTGGGCTCAAGACACAATGTTAAACAATTAAATACAAATTGAATTAAAAATTTTAGTAGAAAACTGCATATATTAGAAAATATCAATTTTATAAAATAATTATCAATATGAGTCTCTAGAAGGACATAGACCAACATGTTAATAACCATGGTGTATCTGGATAGTAGGTGTGATGGATTAATTTTCTGTATCAACTTGGCTAGTCATGGTGTCCAGTTGTTTGGTCAAACATTAATCTAGATTTTTCTATGAAGGAATTTTGTATACGTGATTAACATCTACACTTAGTGGACTTTAAGTAAGGAGGTTACCCTTGATAATGCGGGTGGGCCTCATCCAATCAGTTGAAGGCCTTAAGAGCAAAACCTGAGGCTTCCTGGTGAAGAAGGAATTCTGCCTCAGTACTGCAGCACTCATTCCTGCCTGAGTTTGCGGCCTGCCAGCCTGCCCTACAAATTTCGAACTTACCAGTTCCCACAGTCACATGAGCCAATTCCTGAAAATACATCTCTCAATATATATGTATCCTTGTATCTTATTGGTTCTGTTTCCGTAGAGAACTCTGATCCAGTAGGATCACAGTAATTTTTATTTTCACCTTTTTGTAAAACTCTTTTCTTTTTCTACAACAACTATGTATTTTTTATAGAATAAAGACAGATAAAAAACAAAAAGTGGTGACTGTCAAATTTATTGCAAGGCTCATGATTCGTATTTAAACTTGGGTTCAGTTATTTCTCAAATTTTGAGTTGTATATGTCTTTCCAGAGGCACAGCTATCACATAAAACAAAGGACGCTGTTGACACAGTGTGGATCAAAACCATGAGCACAAGAATGGGTGCCATTTATTAAGTCCCTACTATGTGTCATCTGAGCACTTTAGAAACATGAGCTTATTTCACCTTCTTGAAAATCCTGCAAGGCTGGTAGTAAACTCATTTCACAGATGAGAGAAATGGGGCTTAGAGATGGGAGGTTGCATGAGAAACCTAAGGACCCACAATTAGCAAAAACTTATGGAAGCTCATCTCAGAAGCAAAATGTTAGCCCTTGGAAAACACAAAGCAAGTTGCCAAAACCATATGCCTATTTCTATATTGGTATCTGGGTCTATCTATAGTGTAAAACCACTTTTTAGCATACACACATATATTTATATTTATGTGCAGGGAAAATGATATGGAATTACTCCCTGAGCAGAAGGATGGGGGGAGAATGCTTATGAATGATAATTTAAAACTTTAGCCATCAGAGGCACCTAGTGATTATTCCTACCACCTGGCACCGGCAGCCTGAATTGTTCATTGCAGTGGCAAATCGAGTGAGCTGAGGACACTTGGATTTTGGTGACGTGGCTAACTTCTGGAGCATGCTGAGGATCACACACATCCATTGCTGCCTCCACCTTCCCTGTTTCCATCCCCAGCCCGGTGAGAGAGGCGCCAGTGGTGGTGGTGTCAGGATACTGCTGACCTGCCCGTGGCCCCTACAGGCCTCAGTTTCCCCATGTATAAATGGGGAGCAGGGATTAGCCTACACGGTTACTCTCATGCCCACTACCCAGGGAACAGCTGGAAAAGTGTGGGGCTACCTTTGATTGCCTCAGTGGCTGGACACCAGCCCGGTGAGAGAGGCGCCAGTGGTGGTGGTGTCAGGATACTGCTGACCTGCCCGTGGCTCCTACAGGCCTCAGTTTCCCCATGTATAAATGGGGAGCAGGGATTAGCCTACATGGTTACTCTCATGCCCACTACCCAGGGAACAGCTGGAAAAGTGTGGGGCTACCTTTGATTGCCTCAGTGGCTGGACGCCTCACTGGCACTTGGAGGGCTAGGGCAGGGATGTGCATGTTCTGTACAGGATAGCCCTCTACCCCCAAATGAGGAATTGTCACACCTAAAATGCCACTAGCTCCCTGTGAAGAAATACTGGACAGTCTCCCATCCTGTGGCCTGGGGTGCTCAGAGGGAAGCCCTGTAAGGTCACCCAGAGAAAGATTTAGTGATGCTCATAGAATGTGCCCTACGCTGTGAGGGCAGAGTGGGGAGCAGACATTTAAGCTAAAGATTTATGGCAATGAGGCGGGAAGCCCAAAGCGGTGTGGATGGACCTTCACTTAACCACAAAACTCTGTTAGCCTGATGCTAACTCAGGTCACAGGGCAATGAGATGTTGACCTTGCCCTCTCTCTTTTGACTCCACTAGTTTTTACTGAGTCCCCGCTGATGCCAGGCTCCATGCTGGGTACTCAGGGTCCATTTAATCTTCACATCAAGAATATATGGTAGATGCTGGCTACCTCCATTTCATAGATGAGAAAACAGAGTCAGGGAGGCTTGCTGGCTTCCTTAGTGTCACAGAGCTGTCAAACGACATGTCAAATGTCTCCAAAGCCCATGCTTCTCCCAATAATGATAATACTATCATCACGATTGCATGCCTATATTAATACAATGTTGTTATCATTCTAGTTGCCATGTATTGGTCACATGCTAACTGCCAGGAGCTAGGATGAGCCGTTCACACGCATGGCCTCATTGAACCATTGGGTTCACTCTGGTGGTGTAGGGATCCCCATTTTTACAGAAGAGGACTCTGAATGCTTAGGTTAGAGGTCTGAAACCACCTGTCACGGGTTACCCAACTATCAGAGTCAGAGCTGAGACTGGAACCTAAGTCTGCCTGAGATCTTTCCATGCTAAGGCACTGTGCAAACACTTGATACACCTTATCTAATGGAGCCCTCCCAAACCCTACCAGGAAAAGCTCATTCTTCCCATTATAAAGAAGGGGAAGTACAGGTTCAGAGGGGGGAAGTGTCTTGTCCAAGGCCACGCCGCTAATAAGTAGCAGTGTCTGGAATCCAACCCCAGAATGTATGAACTCCAAGTCCGCACACTCTCCTGGGCTGCTGCTCTTTAAAAACCCAAGCCAAGGCCCTGCCCTAGCATTTTAAAACACTGCAACATTTATCTTCTCTCTTCTGCCCTTCACATTCACAATACTTCTGAACACAGGTCACTCAGAGAGTCAGGCTGTCCCTCTGAGGTCTCTTGACAGTGCAGTCTTGTTCTCTTTAAGTATCCCCAAATGTCCAGTCTTGACCCTGAGTCTCTGGAACGATCTTCAAATTGTTAACCTGCCTCTTCCCACCAGTATCCTATTTAAGGGACCATCCTAAAATCCCCTTGGGTCACAAGCTACAGGCAGTGGTTTGGGGGTGGGGCCAATGGAAGCCCCTTTGGGGCTGGGATAGTCCTGGGTCCACTATAGGGGTTTGAAGCCCACCACTTTTACCCCCTAAGATGGGTCCTTCCCCAAACCACCTCCTACCACCTTGGTGGGGTGTGACACCTTCAACACAGGACTGTGCAGGGGAAGACAAAGTCATGTCACAAGGGGTGAGGGTTGTCTGGGCACATTGGGGGGTGTCTGTCTGTGCACTCATGGGGGCAGCAGGGGCTGACTGTGAGGGCAGTTGTGGGCCTGGCTACACCGAGGGTGCGTTTGGATGGCGGGACATGATACTGAATGTGTGTCTATCGTTGTGCACACAGTATGCATCTGACTGTACATGAAAGGGTGTGAGTGACAGTGTGTGCATCCCGAGTGTGTGTGAGTGACTGTGTGAGTACGAATCCACCTGTTTGGGGTTTGGGCAGGCAGATTCCGAACTCTGAGAATGCAAGTGTGACCTTACTCCATGAGCAGATATGTGTCCCCCTGTCTGGCTGGTCTCATCACAATGGGAGTTTAACTGCAGTCATGTGCGTTTGGCCGTGCGTTTCTGCAAATAACTGTGTAGTTGCATATCAGATCTCTAGAAGGGTGCAGTTGTGCCATGAGGTGTGTGGGTTGGTGGAGACAATACCCCAGGGGCTCTATCCGGGTTGCCTGGCAACCAGTTCACTGAGAGGAGGGCTCCCCCTCTCCTAGCAGCCAACCTCCCACCAGACTGGCTCCATGACACCAGTGGTTCGTCAGCATTTCCTAACAAGCCCTGAACAACCGGCACCTATGTTAGAACAAAAATTGTATTTCCCCAGTGCAAAGGGAAATACACCTTCCAAAGAGAGAGTAACAGGAGGACTGGGTCCTTCTGCTGGAATCCAGCCCAGCTGGAGTCTCTCTCAGGGTGCCAAGAGCACCGGGGACCCTTAAATCTGGTGCCCACAGCCAGGGACACTGTTGTTGTCTGTGCAGGTCATTTGTACCACAGTGGATCTCACATACGAGTCTCTGTACAGGAGCATGTCTGCCTGGGGGCATGTGAGAGCTTCAGTGAGCCCAGGGTGGTCTGTGGGGTCCCCTGGGGCTAGTGGTCACCCTTATATCATCTCACAGACATGGCCATGAGTAATTAAAGGCACAGGGTCCTGTGAGCCCACATGCTCTTCAACTGGGCATCTCTGGCCAAGTGCTCTGCTCTTCTCTCTTCCCCCAAGCTGTGCGCCTATCTCTTGGGCTCAGTCTGCTGACAGGGCCACATTAGCTTGTGTCTCCAGATGGTCTTGAGGGGCCCAGCCCTGACCCAGAGCCCCAGAAGAGGCCGTCCAGTCTGATGCCACACTAGAAGGCCATGGCACTTCCCTGGACCGACAGGATCAGAAGACCAGCGACTAGGAGACTAGTTCTGGTCCCAACTTTGCTTCTCCTCTCTGGAATTCATCAGCTTCACCTCCACACAGCACCCTCCCTTGTCTTTGACCATGGAAAAATTTCCTCTCTTTTCAGAGCCTCAACGTCCTCATCTCTAAAGTGGGGGCATGAGTATTGGGTTGATTATTCAGAGATGGCCCTGCATGAGACTTGTGAGCTGTGGCTACTGAAGAAGGGGCAGTCAGAGGCTTGTCTCCTTGCCAGCTGTCTGTAGGCTGTAAAGGAGGGAGGGATGTGGAATCTCTGCCCTGGCATTTCTCCATGTGATTTCCTCCAGCCTGCCTGGACATCAGGAGGCAGGACTGCAAGGGTGAGAAGAGGAAGGAAGATTTTGTAACCCAGCTCTGCAGATATTGGTCTCCCTTTGACATTTAAGCATCTGCTAATGAGTCCCTGAATCTCTCAGTTTAGAGAGGAAGGCTGAAATGAATGCTCTGAATATCAGATTAGGGTAGGTTTTCAGAGGCCTTAAAGGGCCAGAGATGAATCTGAAGCTACTGCATGTGTCTCTCTTTGGTCCAGGTGTGTGCTGGGGTGCGAATAGGGAGAGTAAGAGTTTGGGAAATCAGTTCCAAGAGCAGTAATATCCTAGATGAAGGGTTTTCTGCAGGCTGGCTTGTTCTGCTTTGGCGAGAAACCCTATGGAATAACAGAGGGCTTCCTAATGTCTGGTGGAAAGGATGGAGAGACTTCTGAGCCAGCAAGGGGATGGTTTAGCTCAACTCCCAGGGATCTAAGGAGCATTTTGGAGGTGATTTCTGTCTGCAGTTGGCTCTCCACCATGCCTTGGTGATCTGGACACCAAGAATATACACGGTGGCCAAGACATTTAATCTCTCCAGTCCTCTCATGTCCTTCATCTATAATATGGGTCACCTGATTCTCCTCTTCTGTGCGTGAAAGGCTCTTTTGTCTCTTATGTCCAAAAATGAAAGGGAAGTTGCCAGTAGACCCCTCAACCTTCCTAACCCTCTCCTGTGGTATAAAGAATTTTGGATTTCCTACAGCAGTGGGAAGATGGCTTCCTTTTTGCAGAAAGCTCTAGTGCCCAGCTAAAAGGGCATTAGTTTTTCATCAGATAGACCCAGGACAACCACTAACTACTAAGCAAACTTACAGTGTGCCCTTGGGCAGGTATCTTCCCTTCACTAAGCCTCAGTTTTCTTCATATGTAAATGGGGATCACCGTATCTATCCTGCACAGTTGGGGTGGAAATCCATGCAATGGCATTTGTAAGTGTCTGAGACCTAACAAGTACTCAGTCGATGTCTCCTCCTGTTCTTTTCTCCATCACTTGTTCATAATACAAGGGCATTAGTTTTTCATCAGATAGACCCAGGACAACCACTAACTACTAAGCAAACTTACAGCGTGCCCTTGGGCAGGTATCTTCCCTTCACTAAGCCTCAGTTTTCTTCATCTGTAAATGGGGATCACTGTATCTATCCTGCACAGTTGGGGTGGAAATCCATGCAATGGCATTTATAAGTGTCTGAGACCTAACAAGTACTCAGTCGATGTCTCCTCCTGTTCTTTTCTCCATCACTTGTTCATAATACATGAAGGGTGGCTAGCTCCTATGCAGTAGACACTCTCAGTTCCCCATTAATATGCCTGCCCCTGGCACTCACCATCTCAGTATAGGCTGATAGTTACCATGACTCTCTTGCCTCAGGGCCTGTCAGGGACAGACTGAACCTGCTAGGGAGTAAATCTCCCCAGGAGCCATCCATAGCTGGTGATGGCTGAGAATTGGAGAATAAATACAACAGCTTCCTGCCCTTCGGGTGGGACACCTCTGGAGCATGTTCTACACCATTTCCCAAAGGGATTAAGCTTCAGTTTTCCTCATTAGTGACCTGTTTTGTAAAGGATTCTGTATTGGCTTCCTTGCTTTTCCTGTTTCACTTCTTCACTCCCTTACAGGTACATCCTGGAATCATCTCCCAAGTCAACCAAGGCTCATATCCTTGTATCTGGGGGAATCCAACTTAAAGCATCTTGGGTCTTTGGGCATTTTTAATTCACAAGCAAAGTCCTGCATGGAGTTTCAGGGCCACTGCTTCACACAGCTCACTCATAGTCTGTGTAAATGGCACTCCCTGGAGGCATGCACTACACAGCCCACAGTAATAGCAGCAACCCTGACTGGCATTTTCTTGATGACCAATCCCTAATTAATAATAACAATTACTTACTATATGTCACTAGTGCTAAGTGTGTTACACATATTATATCTCAATTAACCCTCACAACAACTTATGAGGTAGACATTGCTATTATCCTGTTTTATAAGCAGAGCCCCTGAGACTTAGCAAGATTTGATCACTTTTCCAGGTCACATAGCTAGTGGGGAGCAGAGTAGGGATTTGACCCCAATCTTGTTTGACATCACATCCTAGTTTCTCACCTCTCCACTATTCTGCAGGAGGCCTGCCCAATTCTAACATTGTAACATTCCAGAAATCCCATGCTAGCCACTCGAATTTCCCGTGGGGAGCAGAGTAGGGATTTGACCCCAATCTTGTTTGACATCACATCCTAGTTTCTCACCTTTCCACTATTCTGCAGGAGGCCTGCCTAATTCTAACATTGTAACATTCCAGAAATCCCATGCTAGCCACTCGAATTTCCCGCAAACACTCTCAGGCCCCACAGTAGGGATCTAAGAATTGTGAAAGCCCATGCCCCACATTCTAACAATGTTAGCTCTTCATTGCCAGGCCAGCTGGGATGGTGCATGACCTCAGCAGCTTGGGCTTTTTACCAGCAAGAGGTGAGCAGAACAACTGTTCATCAACTCTTTGCTGGGGGCAGATGGAGAAGAGCCTGGAACCAGCTGCAAGCGTCTCTGAAGTCCTATCATCTCTTTGTTCTGGAGCTTCACAAGAATGAGGTAAATGTCACCAGGCATCAGCTTAGAGGCAGGCGTGGTAGAGTTCTCCCTGGTTTGAAAGAGGCCACCACTCCCCGGGTTATTAGGCCAAGCTCTACTGCATTAAAGATGCTGGCAAGGAGAAAAGGCAGTGAGCTGGAAGCTGTTAACGGCTGCCTAGCTACCTATAATCAGAGAGATTGAATTACACAAAAAGCCTAACTGTCCAAGGAGAATTCAAACCAGCTATTTTTGGACATCTCCAAAGGCTCCTGTAGGCTGCTGGATATTCAAATAGCTTGAATTGGGTGTTTCTCAGAGTGAATTGGGGAGTTTTATTAGGAAGAAGTGGGGGGAGGCATCAAAATTACTCCATAACAGGCACTGTGGAAGGTGCTTTCTAGGCTGTATCTCACTTGTCGGTCACAACAATTGTAAAAGGTTGGAATTGTTCCCATTTTACAGAAGAGGCACCTGGGGCCCAGAGAGAATAAGTGGCTTGGCCAAAGTCAACACAGCAAGTGAGAGAACTACGATAGAAACTATGTCTGCCTGATTGCAAAACCTACATTTTCCCCCAATGTCTTCCTGCTTTCATGAATTTTGCTTAGGGGAGAAAAGCAAACCAATTGTCCCCCACTATGATGCAGATGGAGAAAAATTTTCTAACTATTGTCTCTTTGGCACTGCACAGAAAAGTTCATGAAGTTCTGCATGAATTAGAAAATCCAGGGGTCCCAGACATATATGAGAATCAAGGGGAAGCAGAGGCCTCTAGGACTGGCAAAGAAGGAACTAGACATGGTCCATACAAGGAAATGTGACTTCCCTTGATCATCTGAGGCTTCCCTTAAAAGAAGTGATTAGAGTGGAGTATCAGTGAGCTTAAAGCACAAACATTGCCCCAAAATTCTCCTTCTAACTTTTGAAGACAATAAATTGCCAGAACTAACAACAGTATACAAAATCCACCATGTAAATTGTAAACCATAAGTCAGAGGTCTATTTTTGCAGTGATAGTGCAAACATAATGCCTTTGCCAAAGTAGAAAAAAAGAAAGAAAAAAATGTTGAGGCTTGGGAGAGGCTGGTTTGCAGTCATGGGAGTTTTAGGTTGCACTGAAAGATGGTCAGTACCATGGACAGCCACCCATGGGAACAACATGTGTAGTTCAGCTTAGTTCTAATGAACCTTGCAACCCAAAGCTTGCAAGAATCATTCAGGCAAATGAAATTTCTTGCAACATCTTATAAAGTCATAAAGCTCCCAAATCACCAGCAGGTCTCTCCCCCTGAGAAGAAAGCTACACTTGCTGACACATTTAGCAAACTGCTGTGAAAAATGTAATTTGACCAAAAAGGAAGTCCATTTTTCGGTTCCTTTGTAACAAGGGCAAAGAGTCCACGTGCCGAAGAGTCTGCGTCAAGGCAGAATAGCAGGGTGCCTGCAGACATTTGCTCTGCCAACCTTTTAATGCTCTCACTACTGTAAAAGCACTCCATCACCACAGAAACACATGGGCTGGCTCCCTGTGCAAAGCAGACAGTCCACAAGAGTAGTGCTTGGGAGATTAAAAGCCTCCTTTGGATCTTCCTAATCATTAAGAGTTTTGTGCCACTGCTCAGGAAAACACAATAAGGACACAATGTTAATACCAACTAATGACTCTACAAGTGGAATCTAGTTTCCACCATAACTGTTTCCTGGAGTGTTTGCTCATTTCTCTCTCTGATGTAATATATGCTTCAGTCATGTACCAGTGACTCAGAAGGTATCCCTTTCTGGTTTATTTGTGTATAAATCAGATCCCAGGCATGAGAAGCTGAAAGTGCCACTGAGTCAGAGCAAAGACAGTAGAGATCCTGGACTGCTTAGAGTCAGGAAACAAGGCAGAAGGAGGGATCAGGGGTCAGGGAAGGGAGGAGTTAAGCTGCAGCCAAGGAGATCCCCCAAAAGAGAGGAGATGGGGTCCTGAATCTAATTCAAGATGTTAGAGTGTTTATCATACTGTAATGAGTGAGCTCCCAAACTGGGAGTCAGAGACCTTGGTTCCATCCATGCTCAGTCCCTAAAAGGCACTGTGGCGTTGGAAACAGCATGCCTGCCCATCATTTCCTGAAATTGCCTCTAGGCTTTTGCACGCTCTATTCTCTTTACCTGGATTTCTCTCCCACCCCTTGGGAATTTATCTTGAGTCTGGGTACCCTCCCCTCCTCCACCAGGAGAAATCCTATGTGTCTTTCAAGGCCCTCATCAAATGCGTCTTTCTCTGTGGAGCCTACCCAAGGAATGCTCAATTTAGCCACTTCTTCTCTACAGGACTCAGTTTCCACAAGCATAAAATGG